TAACTATCCTAATATATAGATATAACAAGGAAATATATGCACAAACATCCCTGGACTTTGAAAAGTCCAAATACACCTTTGTTTCCTAAGGTGTGGCCCAATTCTCAGAGCAATGCTCTGGGAATGCTACAGCATCATGAAATACCTTAACTCGCTGCCCATTCACTTTAAACACAGTGTTGTCCTCCGGGTTAATCAGGTCAACCGCTCCATAAGAGTAAACTTTATGAATGACAAAAGGTCCAGACCACCTAGACTTGGGATTTCCCGGGAATAGTTTCAACTTAGAGTTAAACAAGAGGACTTTCTGTCCTTTTTTCAACTCTTTGTGTTGGATTCTATTATCATGCCACTTCTTTGTCTTTTCTTTATAAAGTTTGGCATTCTCATAAGACATTTGTCTTTGTTCCTCCATTTCACACAGTTGTAACTTTCTTTTCTTTCCAGCTTCATCCAAAGACATATTTAACTCTTTCATTGCCCAATATGCTTTGTGCTCAAGTTCTAGAGGTAGATGGCAGGCTTTTCCATAGACTAGCTTAAATGGAGACATACCGATTGGTGTTTTGAAAGCGGTTCTGTATGCCCATAAAGCATCATCTAACTTGAATGCCCAGTCCTTTCTATTAGGTTTGACCACTTTTTCCAAAATGCTTTTAATTTCTCTATTAGAGAGCTCTGCCAAACCATTTGTTTGTGGGTGATAAGTCGTGGCAATTCTATGGTTAACAGTGTATTTTTCAAGAACTTTTAACAAATTGTTCACAAAGTGGGTACCATCGTCACTAATTAGTGCTCTCAGAGTACCGAACCGTGTGAAAATTTGTTTTTGGAGAAACTTAACCACAATGTTTGCGTCATTTGACACACATGCCATAGCTTCCACCCATTTGGATACGTAGTCAACAGCCACAAGTATGTATTGGCAATTATTTGATGGAGGGAAAGGACCCATAAAGTCTATTCCCCATACATCAAATAATTCAACTTCAAGTATCCCATTTAATGGCATTTCATTTCTTTTAGAAATGGAGCCACTCCTTTGACATTCGTTGCACCTCTGTGCAAAATTGTGGGAGTCTTTAAAAATGGTTGGCCAATAAAAACCGGACTGTAGGACCTTGGTTGCAGTTCTTTGGCCTCCAAAATGGCCTCCGTATGGTGCATGATGGCAATGCTGCAAGATTGTTGGCACTTCAGATTCAGGCACGCATCTTCTTAAAATTTGATCTGCACCGAGCCTAAACAAAAACAAGTCATCCCACAGATAAGATTTAGCATCATGAAAGAATTTTTTCAACATATGGCCTGTGTAATCAGAGGGTTTTATTCCACAGGCTAAGAAATTTGCTAAATCTTCAAACTATGGTGTTTTTGGTTGGTCTATCATAAGGATTCTTTCATCCGGAAAAGTATCACTAATGTCCATTCCTCCTATCTCAGGTTCTTCTAACCTAGACAAATGGTCTGCCACTTGATTCTCTACTCCCTTTCTATCAAGTATCTCTAAGTCAAATTCTTGCAATAAAAGCACCCATCTTATTAACCTTGGTTTTGCATCTTTCTTTGAGATCAAGTACATGATGGCCGCGTGATCGGTATGTACTATTACCTTTGTTCCCATCAAGTAAGACCTAAATCTCTCAAAAGCAAAAACTATGACCAATAATTCATTTTCTGTTGTGGTGTAATTAATTTGTGCCTCATTCAAAATTTGACTTGCGTAATAAATTGAATGAAACACTTTGTCTTTCCTTTGTCCTAACACAATACTCACCGCCCAATCACTCGCGTCACACATAATCTCGAAAGGTTTGTTCCAATCAGGGGCAACTACCATTGGTGCAGTGACTAAAGTTTTTTTTCCAAATTTTGAACACATTTTTGCATTCATTATTAAAATCAAATTTTTGGTCATGTTGTAGGAGTAAACAGAGAGGTTTTGAAATTTTTGAAAAATCTTTCATGAACCTTCTGTAAAATCCGGCATGACCCAGAAAGCTTCTAATTCCCTTAATAGTGGTAGGTTCGGGTAGTTTTTCAATAACTTCGAGTTTTGCTTTATCTACCTCAACCCCTCTTTTAGAAATTAAGTGTCCAAGAACAATTCCTTCCTTGACCATGAAGTGACATTTCTTCAAATTGAGGACCAAATCAGTTTCATCACATCTTTCCAAGCTCTTTTTCAAATTTTCTGAACAGTTGTCAAAAGATGAACCATACACAGAAAAATCATCCATAAATATTTCAATGGATTTTTCAAGTATATCCGAAAATATGGACATCATACACCTCTGAAAGGTGGCAGGAGCATTACATAGTCCAAATGGTATTCTTCTGAAAGCAAAGGTGCCATAAGGACAAGTAAAGGTGGTTTTTTCTTGGTTTTCGGGAGAAATGACTATTTGAATGTATCCTGAATAACCTCCAAGAAACAGTAGTATTCTTTGCCGGCTAACCTGTCCAACATTTGGTCAATGAAAGGTAGTGAAAAATGTTCTTTTTTAGTAGCCTTGTTTAGCCTCCTATAGTCCATGCATATTCTCCAACCGGATACAACTCTAGTGGGTATAAGTTCATTTTTATCATTTGTGATGACTGTGAACTCTCCTCTTTTTTGGAACACACTGGACTGGGCTAACCCAAGAACTACTGGCTATCGGGAAGATAATTCCGGCATCTAACCATTTCAAAATATTTTTCTTTACTACCTCTTTCATGACAGGATTCAACCTTCTTTGAGGTTCTATGGATGTGAAAATTTTATCCTCTAAGATGATCTTATGTTGACAAATAGAGGGACTGATCCCCTTAAGGTCAGCAATGGTCTATCTTAAGACTTTTTTATGCAATTTCAACATATCCACTAGTTTCTTTTCTTGATGCAAATCTAGGGTAAATGAGATAATGACAGGCAAGTTGCTTTAACTCCAAGTCAGGTGGAGATACAATGGACGGGGTGAAGTCTTTCTGCTCACTATTTTCCAGCAGCTCAAATATTGCAGCATCCACTGGGACAATATCAATTCCTAATTCCTCTAATTCCTCGACATTTTCTTCTATTTCCTCATCACACTCTTCTACCAATTTAAGGTTTTTCTGAATTCCTTCTTCAAAGCACAACTCATCTATTTCAGCTATTCTTGAACACTCCTCCAAGTAATCAGGGTATTTTAGAGAGTTGAAGACATTAAATGTGACTTTTTAGTCTTGGAGTCTCATGGTCAACTCTCCTTTCTGTACATCTATCAGGGTTCTTCCGGTGGCTAGAAATGGTCTTCCTAAAATAATAGGAATGTCCTTATCTACCTCAAAGTCTAGAATGATAAAGTCTGCCAGAAATATAAACTTATCAACTTGCACTAACACATCCTCAATCTTTCCCTTAGGGTATGCAATGGATTTGTTTGCCAACTGGAGTGTAACTGTGGTATGTCTAGCTTCACCTATGCCTAGGGTAATGAAAACGGATAAAGGCATGAGGTTGATACTAGCTCCTAAGTCATATAAGGCTTTCTCTATCTCCTTCCCTCCTATTGAACAAAGAATGAAAAAATCCCTGGATCTTTGAGCTTATGGGGTATGTTATTGGTCAAAAGTGCACTACATCCTTCGGTAAGGGCTACAGTCTCATATTCAGTCAACTTCTTAATCTTACTTAGGATGTCCTTCAGAAACTTAGCATAACTAGGCATTTGCTAAATTGCCTCAACAAGTGGTATGTTGATGTGCAATTCTGTAAACACATCCAAGAATTTCTTAAAGTGCAGTTCTTCTTTCTGATTCCTCAACCTTTGGGGGTAAGGAACATACGGAGGGACTGGTTTTATCACATTCTTGCTTGGAGGTGTTGAGCAAGATGGGTCTTGAATGTCTTGGGTCTTCGTGGTGCACTTTGGAGGTTCAAATGGAATTTTAGCATCAAGCTTAGGGGTTTCTAAAACCTCAGTCTCTTCTGACTTTTTTAAAGCATCCTCAGGAAAGAGTAATTGATAGTTTGATCTTGGGAAGACAGAAGTGGTGGTCTCAGATACCTACCTGCTTCTCTAAAGGTTAGACCGGTCTTTCTTTCGCAGGAACCAATGTTGTAGCATCAGTTTTTGCCAAACTTGGTGTACTATCTTTGGGCACTTTTTCTGTCAACTACTTCCCACGCCTAAGGGTAACTACTTTCACATGTTCCTTACCTAGGTCTCTAGTGACTTCTGTATTACTGGGCAAGCTACCAAGGGCTCGATTATTCTGGTTGAGCGCAAGTTGACTGACTTTAGTCTCTAAATTCTTGAATGGCAGCACTTTGTTGATTAATGAAAGCTTGATTTTGGGCTTGTGCATGTGCAAAAAGCCCTTCAATCATTGCTTCCAAAGAAGATGATGATTCTGCCTGTGGAGGAGGTTTGTTCTGAAAAGGTGGTTATGAATTCTAAAAACTTTGATGGTGATTCTGAGAGTTAGAACTGTTTCCATGATGTTGTGGTTGGAAACTAGAAGTTCCTTGTTGTTTATGTACTGGTGCGTTCAAACTGGGACTGTTCCAAGAAAAGTTCGGGTGTTGTCTCCAATTGGCATTGTATGTGTTGGAATAGGGATTAGCTCTGTTATGAACATAGTTTATTGATTCAGAATTATGAGGACAATGTTCATACGAATGTTTTCCTCCACAGCACACACACTGCACAGATACGACTGTTAGGACAGGTGTATTAGCAGCTTGCTGCCCTCCCTGACCAGAAGTTAAAATTTTCAGCATGTTGGTCATGGAGGTAAGTTGAGCTGTTAATGCAGTATATGCATCTACATCATGTATCCCAACAGTCTTTTTCTGTGGTTGAACACGTGGGTCGGCCCAATGCCCATTGTTGGCTGATATCTTTTCTAGGATTTCATATCCTTCATTATAGACCATGGCTGTGAAGGCTCCGCCCGCAGTCGCATCGAGCATTTGTTTTGCCATGGGATTTAACCCATTGTAAAACATCTCGAGTTGAATACATTACGGAATGCCATGGTGTGGGCATTTCATCAACAGCTCTTTGAACGTTTCCACGCGTCAAGAACAGCCTCATCGTTCATTTGTTTGAAAAGACAAATCTCGTTCCTGGACTTAGCGTTCCTTGTTGATGGAAAATATTTTCGCAATAAAATTTCTGCAATGTTACTCCATGACGGCACATAACCCGGTGTTAAAGAGTTAAACCATGCTTTAGCCCGATCCCTCAATGAAAATGGAAATAAAGTGAGTCTTAGAGCGTCATTTGACACTCTCGGGATCAGAAAAGCATCTGTGATTCCCATAAAAGATTTTAAGTGCGAGTGTGGTCCTCCGAAGGTAATCCAGCAAATTGGCCATTCGTTTGCAACATGTGGAACATTATCGGTTTTTCGAACCGGATAGCGGTCATATGTGGTCTAACTATCCCGGAATTGAATTGCTCAAAATCCGGAATAGCATAATCTATGATCCTTCCATTTTTGGAATTTGCCAAATTAATGATGTTCGGAGTTTGTGCTCTTTGTTGATCATTATGTTTCGATTATGTGTCCTAATTACACAAATTATTATTATTATGTGGGTGTTCTTGTTGAAAGTTCGAAAATGGTGGTATTGGTTCAAAAATCAGCGGTTGGTTTTCCAAATGCGGTATTTCCGAAATGATTGGGGGAGGTAACGCCATGTTCGGAGAGAGTAGAGCAAAAAAATGCTCTTTGAGCCCTCCTGCTATGGTGAAACGTTCTCTCAATGTCAGAATTAAATTCAAAAAATTCCCCGTGATGTGTCTGTGGCATACACCACTTTTAAAAATGATTCCGATGGTACTAGAAAAGTCAAATCTTTTATTTTACACAAAATAAAACTTTTAGCTTGCCAATCCCCGGCAGACGGCAGCGGCGCCAAAAACTTGGTCGGTTGTATCTCACACCTTTAGACTAATGAAATTGGGCCACAAAGCAAGTATACAATACGGTCCAATGTCGTCTTTCCAAGTAATAAAGTGGTACAAGTACCAGAATATCGTCCACGGAGATTGTAGCCAAAGTTAAATGAGAGTCCAATGAAAGAGATGATTTTAGATGACGATTTTGAAAACTTCAGTTTGATTGTTAAGGTGAATTAAAACAGAATACATAATATAAAAGGATAGCAAGGGTGTAAGACTTGTGGTGAGACCCAAACACAATTTCCAGTAGCCAATGCTATAGGAATGCTATAGCAAGCAGTGTTTCAAAACTTAGTTCCATCATTTATTTTGAAGGCATTCCTCTCGGACTTCACACTTGCACTATATTATAGCTTTCCACCCATATCTCTATGTGGTGTCCGGACCAGGGATATTGACAAGATGGTGTTTTCAAAATATATGGACAAATAAATCTCTTTGTTAAAAATCACTCTCTCGAGTCGATTCCCATATCATTTGAGTTGGCGTGTGTTCTAGATAGTTCACCTCTGAATCTACCGCACTTTGACACTTTCGAATAGTGACCAACCCGTCAGGAGTTAAGTTTGAAAAACATAAATGACAAGTCTCCTTGTCGGCAACTTTATCAAGTCTACCTCTTATGTCATTCAAGTTGACGTGCATTCAATGGCTTGTCTCTAAGTCCATGGCACTTTAACACTTTCAAAGTGATAAACCCGTCAATAAGTGTGTTTGGTTTTTATAAAAACTGGAATGAAACAATGGAACGTCGTTTATGAAAATACTTAGCTACTTTCTTTTGGTTTGAAAATCTCACATTTCCGTCTCACACCCAAGCTATAAAATCTTAACTACTCATAACAGAAAATAAATTACAAGAAAAGTAAATGACGGAAAGTAAAGACATAAATGTAAAGAACGAAAAATAAATGACGAGAAAGTAAACTACGGAAAAGTAAATTACGAGAAAGTAAATTGCGGAAATTAAATAACGGAAATTAAATGATAATAAACGTAAATGAACGTAAAAATAAAGAGCGGAAATTAAAAGACGAGAAATTAAAGATGAAAAGCTAAAAATGAAGAACTTGTATTTCTCCCAAAAGATTATTACAAATCACCCTTGGAGAGGGTTGATTTTAAAGCTAGATGATGTTCAAGTGGTATCCAAAATGAAATCCAAGCCCTTCTTTTATACTCAAATGAGGCACTAAAAGACAAAAAATACAAACCTTAAGGGCTAAGTATTAAAAACAAGTTACAAAGTACAATTAGATTAACTAAAAAGTAACCACTGGTTTTTAGACAAAAAGTCAGCTTCTACAGCTGTCTTCCATGAGTACAAAAAGGCAGCGACTTAATCAATAAGTCCTCCAAAAAGCTGCACATGTATCAGATCGTCGCTGCACCAATGCTGTAGCATCATGCTGTTTTAACAAAAACTCTCCATTAGCTTCTTCCATGAGTACCAATAAGTCAACTACAATATTTAGCTCCATAATAACAAAGGTATAAAGAAATTAATAAAAATGACTCAAAGTGGGAATGAAATAAAACTATTTTAACAAATAAGACGTAAAACGAGTGTTTTATATGTTGAATTCTCAACATACATCAGGTTATCCGGTTAGTGTTTCTATTTTTTTATTTCTGCTGGGTTAACACATAAGAGGTTAAGGGTTTAAAGGGTTAAGGTCTTAAGGGTTATTGGGCTATGGGCTTAAGATCAAATTCCCAAACACCTCTTTAATTTTTGTAAATACCACATATATATATATATATATACACACACACACACACACAAAAATTTATAAAAGAATATACATTAGCGGCGGGTTGGCGGTTTGGGTTGGGTTAAGTTATGTTAACCCAATTTTAACCCTCCTAATTAACGGTTTGGCGGTTTAGCGGTTTGACGGGTTGGGTTTAATTGGGTTGTTAGCGGATGGGTTAGGCGGGTTTCGCGGGTTGACAGTTTTTTGTTCACCCCTAATCTTTCGTACCGTCTAGTAAGGATAGAATCGGCGTGCTGCACATCTTATCTTTCAACACTTGGAAGGCTTCAGCTTGCACCTCTTTCTACTTGAATTTCACATTCTTTCTCATAAGTTCGGTCAACGATGTAGCAATACGAGAAAAGTCATGGATAAACTTTCGGTTATATCCTGCCAATCCAAGGAAACTCCAGTTTTATGTTGGCGTTTGCGGTGCTTCCCACTTCTCGGTGGCCTCTATTTTAAGTAAATCTACTTTAATACTCGCATCAGAAATGACTTGCCCCAAAAATTGGACTTCTCATAACCAGAATCACATTTCGATATCTTTGCATACAATTTATCCCGCTTCAATAACCCTAAAATCAGCCGCAGATGATTCACGTGCTCTTCCTCTGATCGAGAGTATATCAATATATCATCGATAAAAACAATAACAAATTTATCAAGATATGGATGTCACGCCCTATTCATCATGTTCATGAATGTCGCTGGTGCGTTTGTAAGTCCAAACAACATTATTAGGAACTCATAGTGACCATAGCACGTATGAAATGTCGTTTTCGACACATCTTCTTCTCGTATCTTTAGCTGATGATAACCAGATCGTAAATTAATCTTCAAAAAGTAACTAGCCCCAATCAACTGATCAAATAAATCATCATTTATTACGAGTGGATACTTGTTCTTGGTTGTCAACTTATTCAACTCACGGTAATCGATACACATCCTCATCGACCCATCTTTCTTCTTTACAAACAATATTGGTGCACCCCAATGAGATGTACTTGGTTAGATAAAGCTTTGTCGATCAATTCTTTCAATTGTGACATTAACTCTTTCAATTCAGACGAAGCTAATCTATAAGGTGAACGAGCAACTCGTGCAGATCCCGGTATCAATTCGATTTGAAACTCTATTGATCGATCAGGAGGTAAACTTGTCAAGTCTTTCAGGAATACTTCTGGAAATTCACTTACGACTGGAATATTCTCCATCTTACTCTTTTATTTCTTCATATCAATAATGTAAGCGAGAATTAGACACCTTTTTTGCACATATCTCCAAGCCTTTAAAATAGAAATAAGACTGGAACAACGGTCTCGCCTATCGCCATAAATTATAACTGTCCCCTTCCCCGGTAAATCTATATGAATCATTTTCTTATTACAGATTATGTTGGTTTTTAGCCAACCAATCCATACCCACTATTACATCAAATTCCCGCAACGGCATAGGGAATAATTGAATGGGCACATCACATCCCTCTACTGCTATAATATAATCATCAAAGACTTCCTTAATCGATACTACACTATCATTTGTTGTTTCTACCATCAAAGCATTATTATACACGAACATCCGACAAATGAAAGAGACACAAATGAATGATTTGTACCATAATCAAATAAGACCTTGGCACATACTGAATTTACAAGGAATGTACCTGTCACCACTTTTGGTTTTCTTCAGCTTCGTCCCTCGTCATTTGGAAAGCTCGTCTTCTCATCGTCATCTCCCCACGCTATACCTCTCCACGACCACTAAGAACATTTCGATTAACCATCGGCTCCTGATTAAATGGATTGCCCCTAGAATAACCAGATTCCATCCCTTCGCTTATGGACACTCATATTGAATATGATAGGGATAATTACACGTAAAACATCGTCGTATCGCTAGGCAATCTTTGGCTAGATGACCCGATTCTTGACATTTATAACACCTTTGTGGGTTAGTGTTATATTCCTCTTGATGTATTTTTGGGTTCCAACAATATTAGGTATACGAAAATTAGCCATTATCACATCCCCTTTTCTCTTCTCCCCAATTCTCTCTTGTGGTTGCCGACTGTAATCTTGCTCCAAAATTTCCACAGTATCAACCGCTGCTTGAAACGTAACCGGATTTCTGGAAATCACATACTTTTCGAGGTTGGGTTCCAAACCCCGTATATACTTTCTCACTTTGCTGCCTTCAATAGCAACATATGCGTCGGCAAATCGGGACTGTTCCATAAATCTTTCAATATATTGATGAACCGTCATGTTGCCCTACTCTAATCGTAAGAAATCGTCCTCTAGCTTTTGTATCGCAACTTCAGGACTATTGTGCTTTAAACTTTGTAACAAAATCCTCCCAATACATTGTATCCATAATATTCAGATCTGAACTCATCATAATTTCCCAC